TAGCTTTGAATTAAGAATTTCTGCCAGAAGCAGCTTCTCGGCTGCAAAATGCCACCATGCAAAGAGGAGAGAAATACCCAGCATAGAATCCAAACTGCCAGAAATAACCAGATCTGCTTAGATCAACAGGGAACAGGTGTGGAATGAGCAAAAGGGTGCCTAAAAATGTCCACAACTGTCAACCACTTGCTATTTGTGATAGTGAAGTTACAGAGAATGGCAGGACTTCCTGAGGCATGATAGAAGAGGGTTTGGCCTTTCCTTTGATCCCTAATTCTTTACCAATTCTTTACTAATTCAGTCGTGTGTCATCTGATGAGGTTTAACAAGTTGCATGTTTCTAAGCAAAAATTCCACGTCTTTATACAAAAGGTCTCACTTTTGTTGGAGACAAGAAGCCATATAAAGCAAGTATGCCTTAAATAAACTTTCTATCTGACTAGAAGAAAACCCCAAACCCTAGCATGACCTGTCTTTGTACCTTGATGATTGTGTTTACAAGACAAACAGCAAACCAGCCAAGCATGTTTTTCCCTAGCATTTTCTGTGAAACCAGCTAATTTGAATAGTTGTATCATGCAGACTGGAAAATTAGGTTCACCAAATAAACCAAGACTAAATTAACCATGGGTGAGTTGTTCTTGTAAACTTACAGTATGTGGAAATTGGTATGCCAAGTTCTTCATAGCATGAAGATAGACATTTTCACTTGCTAATGTCTGTCCAACTTGGTGTAAGGTGAACAGCTATAGATGCCAGTAAAAAAAGTGATTGCCTTACCTTAACATGCAGCTCTTTTTAGATCAAGGGCCACATTTGGCCTTTGAGTAACAGACAAGGGACTGAATTCAAAAACTGGGTAGTTCTGAGAAAAAGCTGAAGTTTAATTTAACTAAGACTAAATTGCATTGATTGAATCATTTATTTAGACTCAGTTTAATTAGTACACTATATGTACTTAACCATTCTTCCTTTCATATTAAAAATTAAAATTCAGGATCATTACTGTTAATCTTACCAATGACTTATATAACATAGTTTTCTGCTATTAAATGAACCCAAACAAACATTTTCAAGTGTTCCCTTAGAAATGGGATTCACCTGGATGCATTTAAGGCAAAACCAATGTATTTTAATCCTATTTGCTAAAACCTAGTTAACTGTTAGGAGGGTCAGAGTTTCCATTAAAGTGACTGATTACGATGTCTGAAAAGAGCTTCAGAGAAAGGAGCTAGGAAGGGAGATATCATAGTTACTATTATTCTGGCAAGCAGAGCAACTGCAAGGTGGACAGCGTGTTTCCCTAGACATGGAGAGCAGATGAGACAAACCAACCCAAAATGCCTAAATTCCAACCACCCAACTATATTTTGAAATGGGGTTCATAGATTTTACAGATGGGAAGAGATAGTATGACCATGATGAATTATTCCAGTTAGAAGAAACTGTTATCATGTTAGGATTGCTAGCTTATCAAACTGCTCCTTTGAACAAATTGAAACATGGACAAGAGCAGGTAAAATTAGTTTCCTGCTGATTTTTCTTTTCATCTGAATCTTACCCTTCAAGGTGTTCAAGGCAGAAAAGTTGACCAAACTGAGGGAATTTTTTTTTTAGTCATGGGTGATTGTCAGCCATTGCTAGCAAGAACTCGCCTTCTTCCTTTGCTTTGTATGTCACAGTAATGAGCATTTGTCTGATCGTATTACAAAAATGCCAGTTCAGGGGTACAGACTTTGGATTTTGTTCTTTTTCTGCCTATTAAAAGTCAACAGAAGCCCCTGTCTGTAACTTATTCAAAGAAAACAGTAAGCTATACTGGCTTAACCAAAGTATACTGAATCAACCACCATAGATTACAATACATTTGGATATAAGTCATGGTGCAGCAACCACAATGGCTGTGTTCAAACATCCTGCCAAACTTTTAAGTAGTTTGTTGCATGAATCCAGCCTGTAGCAAACTCTTCTTGTAGCTTTTCTGAAAAGCAAGAAACAGTTGACTGCAAAGTTATACCAAAGGTGATAGACAGCTAAGATCTCCCAAGACTATTTTCCACTTTTGGCTCTTTATGGAAAGAAGTGGAGGACAATGAAGGCCATTCAATTCTCTAACCCATGTCTAATACTGACAATGGAGCGGGTGTAAGGACTTCTTAAATAAAGGCCACGGCTGCCTAACCTGCAGTGGCTAATCAGGCAGTAACCATGGATAAAGTATTTCCCTGCTATCTGGCCCCGGATGACACAGCAATACAAGACCAAATCCAGCTCGCTGGTAAGCAGCAGTTATGGCCAGAGAGTTGACATCTCACCTCCTCTTTGTTACTGTTCAGTTAAAAATAACAGCTATAGTATTATAGTTTAGAGACACTGTGGATGGGGCAGGAGGAGGATTTATTTCCTTCCATTCTCTTTGGGTCCTGTTTTACTTATCCTTTCATGTGCCATTTCTATGTGGTGCTCTGTCTCCTGTCTTTGTGTCCAGAAGTTATCCACAAACCCCATATCCCTATCTGTTCAACATGTAAATCCTAGGTTGTAAGTTAAGGAAGTAACCTTGAGTAAAATAATTAAAATGCTCTGCCTGGAACATGGTTTGACCCATAGACTATACTCAGATGGCACACTATGTCTACTGATAGCCTAGTTTAACAAGCTATGTAACGTAGCCAATGACTATGAAGAGGTTTGTCACCACTACCTCCATTCTCTATGCATACTCACTACTAAGATCTAACATACACTGATTTTTTCTTTCCACCTCTGCTTTTCCTCTGTATAAAACATGAAACATTTGAGGCCTCTTTGAAAATCAGAAATGGAAAATGCTTCACATTGATGTGGGCTTAATGGTTGCATTCCGACAGTGCAATAAGAGTTTGCCTAACTAGGGCTACCAGATCAGGCTGCAAAACCCCAGATGGCAGCAGAGTTGGATTTTCTATATCTCTTTGCTGCCATCTACTGGTGGTCTGGATTTTGCAGGCCTAATATGGTAGCCCTATTTTAACCACTATTTATGGAACAAACCACAATTGCTAATATGCCAAAAGCAAGGTATCCACATTATGAGTTTGCACGTTCTGGGAATCCAATAATTTCTTATCTTATTACAAATATTATGCAGGATAGGAAAAAGAAAAAAAAAGGGTCACAAGAGAAAAACAAATTTGTATTGTCAATTCCTCAGAGTACAATGTACAGTAATGCATGGCGGCGAGGAAAGTTCTGTAGTCACTTAAGTTCAGTTCCATGCTCAGGTGTGAAGCTCACCAGATGAGCTTAGTTTAATTATTCTCAGAATAATCTTCCTCCCAAAATTACTGTCTGTGTGTGTGATTGGATTCACCCAGTGTGTTAAGGCATGGTTTACTGAATAAATGGATGGGTTTGCACAATATGCTAAACGCTTAAAAGGCTTTAGGAGTGCTGGATCCACAAACTGTGTTTGGCAAAAACCAAACACCACATTATCACTTAGTGTAGGTGTGCAAACCTTGTCTATATACTGTGCAGAGGCCTTATTAACTTGGAGGAAAGGCAGCATGTATGGGAAATAAATATTGTTCTATAAAGTGCCATTGCATTAATACTACTACATAAAAATGAAAATCAATACATTTATCAAGGAGAGTAGTGCAGATGATGGAACTGTTGTATTCAGTGTGTCCCTAAGTGAAAGTCTACAGAAGATAGTTGCATTCAGACATCACAGCACACCAATATAACCTATATCTGGAAGTCATCTATAGTGTACTTTTTGTGTGTGCGTATGTGCCTAAGAGTTTTGACTCTTGGCAGCTGCCTGGACTAGTCCCTGCAGTTTTCTTGGCAAGGTTTTTCAGAAGTGGTTTGCCTTTTGTCTTATTCCTAAGGTTGAGAGAGTGACTGGCCCAAGGTCAGCCAGCTGGTTTTGTGCCCAAGGCAGGGCTAGAACTGATATCCTCCCAGTTTCTAGCCTGGTGCTTTAACCACTACACCAATCTGGCTCACAGATATAGTGTACATAATCACTATTATTAACCTAAGACACTCCTAACATTCTAAGTGCTATGAAGATATGAAAAATAAACCTGCTCTTGTTTTCAGCCTGTAATAGAAATGATGGAAAAGGGAAAAAGCAATGGAACAGCAGCTTCTTCCCTAGATGACAGATGAGACCAGGTTGGCTCTCCACCTTCCCACTAGCTGACTGACCAGCCAGCCATGGTAGTCTTCCTGCAAGCTAGAGGGTAGAGCTCTGCAGCGCTCCTTCATGTCATGGTAAATTGTAAAAGTCAGAGCACACTTTCCTTCAATTCTGCATCGTCATACCCACTGGCAAGTGGAGCAGGGATTTCTTTTAACCACAGAGCAGCAACGTAAGCACTTTATAGCTACTCTGCAGAGTGACTTAGAGTCAGCCCAGGAGCTTTTGCATTTCAACAAACTGACGGGGGAAGGAGATAAATGGATCCTAAAGGAGTTATCCAGGGCTATGGAGCTCCATGTGATCTAAAGGCACAGATACAACAACATAGCAGAGAGCTAGGTCTAGTCAGTACATAAATCAGGGAATACCTTGCATGTCTGGTTTAGACATGATGCAAGACCATAATGTGGGCTGTTTGTTTTTGGCTTAGCATAATGTACGAATCCAACCTTTAAGGCTTAGGGTTATCTATAAACCAAACCACTGTAGCTTGTTCAGCAACCACACTGAAAAGGATACTGGTTCGCTGCAGTGAGTGACCCTAGGCTTTTACTAAGAGATGTTGGGATTGAAGTTTAGCACATATTTATGTGATAAAGAAGGAATTCACTTGCTCCTGGGTGCCCACTTAAACCAGAACTCCTTTGCTACAATACTATCTATGAGATCAGTGTGACAATCCAAAAACATGTGAAGTATCAACACAGCTACTGAAAATAGTAAGTCATACCAAATAATATCCACATAGTTTAAGAAGGTTAAATTTTAAAAGAAGACAGTAATACAATAATAGACTTACAATCATTAGAACTCTTTATATAAAATAAAACATAACACCTCTTGCAGAAGAAACCATTAAATAATTTTCCCCTTCAAAATCTCCTATAGTCTGAAACCATGTACTAAGAGTACACCAGATCAAAAATTTCAGTCTTTCTTCATACGGAGCTTAATTTCCATCTTTAAGAACATTTTAATATTTTCATCCTGTACGTGCTCCTCCACGGCTGCCAAGGCCTGATCTCCACCATCCCTGTAGTATTTCAGAAGCTCTTCTGCATAATCAATCCAGACGCAGTTGTGGCATCCACTCATACAACAAGTTGTGGGAGGGAGAAGTGTTGGTGGGATGGTAAAAAGGTTCCCTGAAGAAGCAGTTTCCTTCTCAGAGCACGACTTGTCTTTCAGGGGAGCAGCATCCTGGGTACCATGACCGCTCTCCGTATCTGCACAGAAGTGACGCTGTCCACTCTCTAGTAGCGCTGCAGGGTGCCACCCTAGGTTTGCTAACCTCCTATGGCAGGATCTTTTCAGCAGGGATAGCACTGTGGTATCACTATCCTCAGGGCCTCCAAACAGATATATATACTTCTGGTAAGAACAAAAACAAAATTAAACCCCAATACACCTATATCCCTCTGCCCTTCTGATTTCCAGGATATCCAACCCATCCTCCAAAATCAAATCAAGCAAAGATGTGACCTACAGGATTTCATTTATTTATCCAGACAATATGTCATGCCTACAAGATCTGGGTTATGTTCCACCTGTGACTTTTGGATCAATACGCAAGCTTCAGCATTTCACTCTCTTGGAGATGCTCTGAAAACACAAATCAGCTAAGTTCTGGTGAGATCCTGACTCTTCTTTTTGACATGTGACCTTTTATATAGAAAGTCAAAAACTATGCATTTAGGAGATTCAGATTTAAAAACATTTTGACTTGGTATGATAAAGTTGGCTTTGGAATGCATTGTTAAATGGATACTATAAACAACATATAGTATATAGAATGCTATTATTTTTTCCAGAATATGTCTTGAGAAATATTTTCTTCAATATGGATTTTGATGCATGTTACAATCTAGTTCAGGAAAAGCTCTTGATGGCCTCATTTTATATTAGGCTAGTGGATGTAGCTGAGAGGATGTTATTGGTATCTTAATCCAGTAATATTTTTTCCCCACAGCGGCCAAACTAGCTGGAAGGTAATAGTGTTGTCCCTCTCCTGTTCCCTAGCAAATGGTACTTAGCAGCTTTCCATTCTGGTCCTAGAGAAAGCATATAGCCATTATGACTAGTACCATCCACTAATATCTGTATCTTCCACAAATTTGCCCAATCCGCTTCAGATGTGAACTAAACTAGCAGTTCACCACACCTTGTGGCAGAAAATTTCATATAGGTTTGTATAACAAATAATTAAAGACATATCTAAATAGAGATAGGGAATGGAACCAATTCATATAGTAGTTGTTGTTACTAGAGCATTTAGGCACTGAAAAATCAGAATCAAAAGACCTAAAAGAAAACATATCAAGAATGCCAGTATAATTTGCTGATGGTTTGTGGTAATAGTTATTGTGATTTGGGATTTTTTCTTATGCACTAATACTCATAAGCAACTAAAACTGGAGAAAGATGATTGCTCTGTGGTGATGATGATGATTCTCTAATACCTGAAGATGGACTTTACTTTGTGAGATTACTTAGCTAAACATAGCTAAGATTACTATTGGTTTCTATTAAATTGTTAAATTTCTATTAAATTTAATGTTAAATGTCTATTAAATTGTTATTTAAACTAATACATACCCTAAAATTAATCTTAGCTTATGCCAATGTCCTGCTTCTCCTTATTTCTGTTATCTAAGGAACCTATTGAATAATTGCTACTTTTACAGTTTCATAAAATGGTCTATTGAATACTGCACATTTCTTTATCCCAGCAATCCTGAAATCATGACAGCATGTAGCTTCCAACCTGGTGCATCCAGATAGCTCAAGGGATTGGAGTGCACATCCCTTACCACTGTCTGTGTTGGCTGGGATTGACAGGAATCAAAGTTCAACACATCAGGAAGGCATCTGGTTGCCTAGTCCTATTCTAGAAGCAAGACATAAAGCAGTTTGTTTTTGGCACTCTTTGTGGTTATGATACCAAGATAATTTCTTTTTTTTTTCCTTCTCCCTCTACTTTGCTGAACATCCAGCACTGATAAAGAATCTGGAGAACCTGGAAGTCTGATCATTATTTTAATACTCTGATTAATCTTAATGAAGATTCTGACTTCAAAGGACCTTAGAATCAGAAATTTTTTTTTAGCAAGTATTTAATGTTTAGTTGGGGGCAGGCTAATCTCTCCTTGAACACCGGGGCTACTTCACAGCAATTTTTGATCCTTGGACTGGTAAGCTGAGGACAACTTTACTCTGTTCCAAATAAACATAGCTAAGATCGGGCATTTAAATCATAAGGACTGGTTCAAACAGAATAAACCGTAATGAGCTTGTTTAACTGAAGATGAGCGTGTCGTGAGAATGTAACCACTGTGGTTTATTTGATAAACAAGCACCCGCGGCTTAGCCTTTTGTGTGTACACAGCTAAACTGTGTTGGCCCAGCTGATTTTGCCCACCAACTCTCCCGGCTAAAGTTCTCACCTGCCCCGCTTCTGATGTACCAAAAGACCCCGCCAACCCGCGACGGCAGCGGAAAACCCCCAATTGCATCATCTCTCCGGACGCTTTTGGGCAACTGCGTCTCCTTCGCCGCTCGCCGGGCGTGACGTCTCCCTCGTCCAATGGCAACCACGATTCTGCTCCAACGTGATTCCCATAGAGAGACGAACTCAACCAATCGGAAAGCGCTACTGGGCGGGGAAATTGGCGAGGCACCCCGTGGAAGTAGGAGGGGGAAAAGTGCGTACGCAATTGGGGACTCAACTGTGGAGAGGCCGCGGCACGTGGGTGGGCTTGCCAGGAAGAGCGATGGCTTCCACTGCTCCGCGGAAGGGGCTTCTCCCGCGTGGTAGGTCTGTATCTGTCCGGTGAGCTGTATTCTGTGTAATTTAAAGCGCTTTGCTTAAGGTGTGTCAGTGATAGGTAAAACAACCCTGTAGGGTTGACCAGATTTATTACCATCTTCACTCATCATTCAGTCATAATAACGGCTTGTTTAAGGCTGTCCAGTGAATGTAGAACTAACTGGGATTTTGACTGGCTACTGCTTGATTTGGCACTTGTATTCTTTGCTCCAGCTCCACTCTCTCTCGGCCCAACCCACTTCACAGGGTTGTTATTGTGGGGAAAATAGGAGGCAGGAGTATTAAGTATGTTCTCTGCCTTGAGTTATATATAAAAAAGGCGGGATGAAAATTCTACATCTGCCTATCCCAGGTCCTTGGGAAGGACTTGATAGGTGGATAAAAATGCCAAATCCAGTCTGAACATCTGGTTGACTGTGCGACCAACGATCATCATCATAGTAATAGTAATAATACCACCTTCTCTGCCTTACTAGCATTTTTCATCTTCCCAATGGCCACAGTGACTGAGAATTCTGGGAACTGATGTCTTCTCCATCATAATCTGTGGAAGATGGCTGTAATTTATCCTGCTGATTTGACAGCATAATTAAGATTGCCATATGGTATACATCCTCTCCCAATGCAAAGAGGAAATGTTTATAGTTTTCTTCATTGCCCCACTTCTGTGCTGGGGGGGCATTCAGTTTGGAGTGTTGTGCATCATGTAACTGTTAAATGATGCAAGAGGTCAAAGAGACATGCCACCATACACCTTTCAATTACCTGTGAGAGACACTTGGTGAAAAGGGGAAGTATTTAATTAGATTGTAAGCAGTAAAAACTAGATACCATTTTTATAGCATATTCTTCCTTCTTCCCTTTGTGGATAGAAATATACAGTATTATTAACAGTTTTTTAAAGTTATGGTAATTAACATGCATTTTCTACTACTGAGGATGCCGACTGCACTTAAAAGGAGATGTAGGAAGAACACCTCTGGTGAGCACCAAAAGGCCACTTGAAGCATGGGGCTGGCTACGGTACTAATTCAGACCAATATAGGTGCTTCCAGCAGCTTCTTTTTCATTCTAGTGAATGAAGTTGTTGAAATTCCATTGCAGAGCAAGGTACAAAAATGTGAAAGAAATGCCTTCTTGTGTCATAGAGAGGTTCTTCAATCTAACCTAGAGAAGGTTGTATCAGTTTATATTTGATAATAATAATAATGTTAGATTTACCAGCATCTCTCCTTCTTTTGTTTTAATTTTAGCCATGTGAAGAAAAAAACAAATTCAAAACCAGATTGCCTGAACGAGCAAGAAATTCCATATCGGTTGCGGGAAATCATGAAGAGCCGTGATGAACTAAAAAACCCCACACGCAAGAAGAAAAAGAAAGGTGGTAAAAAGCAGCTTTAAGTCATTTATTCAATATATGTTCCAGCAGCTAGCCAGAAATTCTGAGAAGTGTCGTCTTGACAATTCTTCTGGATGGTACTAGTTTGAGGCAGTCTGCCTTATAAGGGATTCTTTTATCAGAAGGGTGGAGGAGTTTGGGACCCCAGCACTGCATGCGATCCTCAAACTTCTTTTTGATCCCTCCCCCTAAGCTCTGTTACTGCACCAAAAATCAGTGGAACAATTTCTCAATGCTTTGAGAAAGAAAAGATATGAAAACTCTAGGGTATGCCCTAACATAACTTAAAGCAGTTTTAAAAACAAAGAAAATCCCAATTTCTTGCAAAAAAAGAACACTTTGAGGATTTCAGGCAAAAATATTGACTTAAACCACGTGTATGGCTTAGCCTATCCATTTTGCCTCAGAGCTTACCCGTGCAGCCATCAGTCCTCTAAACAACAGTAACAAAGAGGCTGCTTATCGTCAGCATCTAACCTTAATACATTTAGATAAATAAAAAAATCCACCCCTGTTTTATAGTAGTATTGTGTGCATACACACATGCTATATCTCTATAGGGTTGCAACTCTTTTAAGCTTGCCTGGAGGGTAATACTGGTCACACAATAAATGCAGACTTTTGCAAGTCCATTTTCTTTTGTAGCCAACATTTCAGTTATGCACATGGCTGAAGATTTCCAAATGCTTGTTGTAGGTGGCTCCCTGGTATCCCACATGTACAATGCAAGTATGTGCCATATCTAATTAATAAGTTCCATACTATATTTGGTTGCTCTCTAGTTCTGCTCATTGGCCATAAAATCACAGTGTTCTACGCCTAGAGAAATCCAGGGTTAATAGCATAACACTCTTTTCCTGCAGATCCTAGAAAATTGATTTTAAGCAATATTCCATGTCGGTTCATTGTCAGATAACTCTTTCTTCAAGCTAGGGGTCAGTATTTTGCAGAGTGAATAGGTTTGGGCTCTAGCTGTTTCCTATAATCTCTCTGAAAGATGCTGGGCAGGGTAAGATTATAACGTCCATATTTTTGTCCCAGCAAATAAGCAGAGGCCTCAGTCTGAGGGTGACATACCAGTACCGAAGTTCAGGAGGCGGCGAGGGGAGACGGAATCCTCATATAATAGACGTATGGAGCAGGAAGTTCAGCACGTACGCTTTCTCACTGAAAATCAGACACAGCGTGAACCTGAGAAAGAGATGCAGGTCCAAGAAAAGTCACAGAGGAAAAAAGAGTTAAGTTTGAATTTGCAGCCCTTGAATTGGGCCATGCTGCAGTCTGAAAGCCTGATTCTTAAGATGTATTTCATTGATAACCCAATTTTCCTTATTTCTCCTTCACAACAACTCTATAAAGCTAAGAGATCCTTTTTGGCCAATATCACTTATGTTTTGATTGAATAAGGGATTTTCCCAAATCCCTGTGAATCTCTCTAGTCACTAGGCCACGCAGCTTATCACTGACCTTTGCTCACCAATTATAGAATTAACCCAAGAACTAGTGTGTAAGGATTCCATCCTTCAGGAACTCTTGAGGGATATTCCATTTAGGAGAGGAGGACATGAACTGGTTATTAACAATAATGTCTCTTCCTCCTCTTCTGTGCCCTACCTCTGCTCTGTTCTTTTGGTTAAGAGTAGCAAGTCCTTTCTGTCCGGAATCTTTTTTTTTTTTCAGCCTGATTCTGAATCAGTTAAGCCAACAGTACTTCCTGCGAACTGCAGTGGAACGTAGCTCCAAATTTACATGCCTAGAACAACATCCTTCATTGGCTAGATGATATGTTGGTTCTTCTCCCTGTATGAGGGGCTTTGTAGCCTTTTTAGTTCCAAGTCTGGTTGTGAGTGTTTTTTTTTTTTCTTGACATGCCCATGGACAGCTCTGACATTTCTGTATCCTTAGTTTAATGAATCCCATTTCTCTAGGTTTCAGAAAAAGAAGCTGGAAAAAATCCGTAAGCAAAAAGCAGAGAAAAAAGTGGCAATGCTTGAGAAGGACCTTCTCAAAGGTAGGGAAATACTTTTGTCCACAAAATGCTGCCATGGCCTTTTAACATTTTTGCCTCGTTGTGGATGTTATTGCGTGTTTTTTTTTTTAAACTTATCCCTTATTTGTTTATTTAGTACACGGCCGACTCCCAGCAACTCTGGGCAGTTCACTTTTGTCCACAAAATGCTGCCATGGCCTTTTAACATTTTTGCCTCGTTGTGGATGTTATTGCGTGTTTTTTTTTTTAAACTTATCCCTTATTTGTTTATTTAGTACACGGCCGACTCCCAGCAACTCTGGGCAGTTCATGAAGTAAAAAAATACAAATAAAACCCTATAACAATAAGAACAAAGAAGCAAAACAATAATGGCAAACCAGAGAACAACGAAAACATACACACACAACTAAGAAGGGGCTTCAGCTACCCTAGTCAAGAGCCTGGGTAAAGAGCAAGGTCCACGAAAAACAAAACAAAAAACCAGACTTCCACAGCAAGCCCCTTCAACAAACTGCCCATCTGGTTACTGTCTTTTTCTGTACAAGTTTTAGGTAGCAGTTCATATAAAACTAGATGAGCTCGTGAATTTGTTCAGCAGCAGCCGAAAGACCTGGGTAATCTGACTTCCATATAGAGAGGAAGGCTGATGTCATGGGATGAGGTTACGTTTATTTTATCAATATGACGTATTAACATAATTTATTTTATTAAATATCTATACCTCATCTATAAGGAATCCTAGTGTGGCACCCATATATAAAGAATTAAAGGAAGATTAATAACAAGGCAAAGAAGCATCATCATGATTCAACCACCAAGAAACAGAAATGGGGAGCCTTTGAGTCGGAACCAAAAAGAAAATAAAGTTGGTACCAACTGAATCCCTGCTTCCTATTCCAGAGGGCTTTTCAAAGTAAGGGCACCATTGCAAAAAGGCTCTCTTTTCATGATGTACCTGTCCCGCTGATAGTGTGTAGAGAAAGGCTTTCTCTGAAGAGTTTAATGCATCGTCAGGATGATATGGACAGAGATGCTACTTCAAGAACTTGTGTCCCACATCAGTCATAGCCCTCAATGTGGTAACTTTCATCCGGACAAGCAAATGTGGAGCCAGTGTTGTTTCTGAGGAAATGCTGTATGTAACACGGCTGCATCCAGGGAAGTCTGTCAGAATTCTGGTATACAAGGACTAGGTTCACAAATCGCACCAAGCTATGGTTTGTTTAAGCGGTATGTTGAATAAACAGCCATTGATTGAGTCTGCCCAGCATGCATAAGCCATGGTTTATAAATTACAGTGTCCAATTTTACACAATAAAGCAAGCCACAAAAAAGCAAGGTCCATCATGGTTAGTGTCAGTCAATAGCTGTAGATGATAAGATTGATTTGATTCTTTGTTAAGAGTGTGGCTTTGTGCTTTGGTTCCCCCCACCCCCAAACGGATAGCTGAATCAAAATCTCTTCCAGCAGAAGCTTCTGCAGATACAGGGAGCTGCTGTAGCTGCACATCACAAACATTGTGTAGGGCTGGAAAAGCAGAAGCAGCCTGTATAGCAAACCACCTCTTGTAATCTATATGAAAGGAGGTTAAACTTTTTAGTGAAACACTAGTGTGCTTCAGGTAGTTGTTATCACCCTAACCTTGCCAGAGTATCCATCTTATAGAATGTGCTGGCTTCTGCATCACTTTCAAGGTTAGTGCTGTGGATTTCAACACTTTGTTATGAAGAAACCAAGTTCCTTCTAGGAGAGAGATTTATGTTTAGCTGATTTTTGAGACAACAGTTGCATCAGTATTGGAGCTTAGTAGACTTGCTTATTGCAGAATGGTGATATGGAAAGCATGGAGCTCCTTGATTCCTTCTCGTTTCTCTTTGTTTCAAAGAGTGATCAATCTGCAGGCTGGCTCAACTTTTGTCCCAAAGCACAATATGAAAGAGGGAGAGCCTGTAGTGGATAATAGAATCATGGGTGTGCCTGGGAACAAAGCACGTGATGAGACATGACATGACCCAAGTACAAAGGGCAGGCACTGTGAAGTCACAACACAAGTTTCATCAAGCCTGATTTTGGGGGTGGGGGGGATATAATGTGGCATTATTGTTTTATCTTTTATGTTTTTATTGGTTGCTATTGTTAGCCACCCAGGGTTATTGTATATAAGATGGGTGGCCATAAAAGTATTTTAAATAAATACAATCTTTTTGTCAGATGGCTATGGCTAGAGTGGATTTCAGGCTTAAGTTTGCTTGTTTGTGGGAAATAATGAAAGAAGCATGTTAAATTATTTTGGAGTTGTCTCTGCAATTATCAGATTTGGAATTGCCTTCTTTCCATTCCCTTTTAGACTCAATAAAATTTGGAGAAGTTGCTCTACAGCCCCCCACACTTACAGTGAAACCCAGGAAGAGTGTTGTCAAAGACAAGGTATGTCATTTAGTTCTAGTTCTGTCTCCTAATTTTGCCAGTGACTGTGCTTGCCTCTATTTTTGCTGTGGAAGGATTTTACTCAATGGGCAGCAAAGCTCAGAATAGATTACTGATTGGTGTTAACTGTATTATGTTAAGCTAACTGTTCCTAGGATTTTATATTTTAGACATCCTCTTCTTAAAGCTGGTTCTCTTCGTGATTGCTCTCAGAATCAATTCATACCCACTTTTCTTCTTCACGTTTCTCCAGCTAATTTCTCTTATCTTCCAGGGTGATCAAAGGCAACTTCTGCTGATGTCTCTTTTGGGCTCCGGTAGAACAACCACCGTTAAAAAATCAGTCCATGCCTCTCTTGCTCGCCAAAGGATCATTCAAGAGGAGAGAGAACGGGTTGTCCAAGCCTATCGGAATATAAAGAAACGTAAACAGCAGCAGCAACAGCTGCTGAATGAAAGCTTTCTTGATATAGACAAGCTAAAGAAACCAGTCTGAGTTGATAGAACAGTTCTATCATTCTGAGAAACACAACGCCGTTGCAAACCAATTGTAGAACATCAGCCAAATCTACTATCTTTCTCCTTTCCAGTTTGAATGAGAGTAGCCAGCAACACAGATAAGCAAATTAACAGTTGAGCGATACAAGCTTACATACATAACTTCTGTGAGCAGACCAAATTGTTTAAAAAGTGTTTCTTGTAACCCAGTTTCAGAACTGCATTCACAGTAGAATTTGCAACATGAAAAATCCATGCCCCACATTGGCTACTTCCAAAGGATTAGTAATTCAGATTGGCTACAAGAATCAGAGCTAGTTTTCAGGCAACTTAGTTCTCAGATCTGTTTTGATGTTTCTTGCAATGGTGAAGAAAACTGTTCTCCAGTTGGACATTGTACTCTTTTTGGCACTTTTTTAGTGTATGTGTTTTCCCCATATCCCACCTGGCTTACAGAAAAGGTTTGAAAGTGAAGAACCTAAAAGATCCAAGCCAGATCTCTCCTTGGAGTTTTGTTGCCAGCTTCTGAATCAGAGAGATGTGCTGAGAGGATTGGGCCCCTGCTCCAAGAAAATGTTATTAGAGACAGATGAATTGGATTAAAATATGTTTCTACGCCAAATATATGTTCTTGCTCATTTCGCTGGCTCTCCTGTCATCCCAACTAGAAACTTCTTGTGCTGCTCTAGTTGTAAAGAAAATTATTTCTTTGCAGAAGAGAAATGGGACTGCTGCTCCAGGGCAGCTACTGTATAGACACCCACCGTTGAATACCAGCAAACCCTTTGACTGGATGGAAGTCCCTAAGATAGGATGAAGCAGGAGGTGCAGTTCCTTGGCAGAAGTTTTAAAGTGAAATGGAGGGAGCAACACGCTTGTTTTGGCCCAACTTTATGAAACTGATAAAAGGGAAACGATTGTGCCATCCTCCCTCTTTCCCTTCCAAGTCCTGGTGCTGTTGTACATAATAAGAACATGTATTGGCAAAAAACAAAGGACTTAAATGGGGAAATAAAGTGGTATTGGTGTGCCCAGCAGCAGTCACCATGTATTCTTAATTCTGCAAACCAAGTTTATTTTAAAAGTGATGTGAAAGATTACTTAAAAAAAAACAAAAAACAGAAACCAGGTGGTTGTTTGGTAGAGTGAGGTTCTCAGAGAAAAGGCGGCTGGCAAAGTAAGGTAGCAAAATTTTGAATTGTACATAAAAAGCAGCAATAGTTGTATTGATTGGAGGATGGAAAAAATCTAAAATCTCTAGTCTAGAAATATATTTATTAAGATCAGTATTGTATTGGGCAAGATTCTGGTGGGGGGGGCGGTGGTGCTAATGAAGATATTGCTAGAGTGTGGGCTTTGGGTGGTGGAGCACAGATTTGTCAGTAGATGGCAGGATCTGTATGCAATGAGGAGATCCTTCCTTAAGCAAGCCCTTTCTCTGGAGGGACCTTTTGTCTTTATAATGAGAGTGTGGTACAGAGAACATCCTGTGGATATTTCATACAGATTCTCCCTGTAGTTATCTGTAGTTTTGACTGAGCACCTGATGTTCCAAGATAATGTCCTGGTAAAACCTTTTTTAATGAAACATAGCCTGTGTTATTCTTCTGGTGTCTCTGGGTATATGGTATAGGTACTGGAAAGAATATACTCTTAGTGTGATTTCTCCACTCCTTTCAGCTCTCTGCTGGGGACTGATCTTTAATATTAGATTTCTCAGCTTATCCTTGAGATTTCTAAAACAATTTCTACCTTCAGAATATTTGGAAAGCTGTTCACGTGGGTGAGCACCTTGACTCCTTGAGGCATGATTGTGCCTACTGTGCTGCTTGGAAGCCGTTCCCATTATCTTCACTGTCACATAGTAAAAAATGAGCGTTCTTAAGAATGCAGCCTGGCGGCAGTGTTATGTTGCATCTAATTGTGTTTAGTGGAGCCACTTCCATCAGTGAGTGTATAACTGCCAGTTGGTGTTAACAATTTTAAGAAAATAAAAGAAAAAGGATGCTCTGTTCCCTCAAACGGGATTGAAAATAGTGGGGATTTTTTTTTTTTTTTGGTGGGTAGGCTCTTTTAATGAATTATACTAATAGACTTTAACAGGACTTTTGTTTAGAGAGAATTCTGTGCAATCTAAAAAACCTGCAGTCAAAATATTCTAATAAAGTGTGAATCAGTTGAACAGTTTCTGACCCTATGTTCTTAACTTTGTCATGAAGTAATTGGCTTAAGGGGTAAATTTTCAAAAATGTGCAAGCTGAACAGGGAACATAACAGAGGGAGATCCAAATTTGGAATAAGGAGGACTGTGCCAAATATCTCTGCTTTGCTGTACATCTAAGGCTGGAGCCTCAGCCCTTTGTAGATAGGGATAAATCCCATTTATCTTTGGGATACTTGTTAGTTGTGAATATATAATGCTGCAGAAGGTAGCTGAAGGATATCTTACCCTGATGAACCACCTGCTATAACAGACCTATCTTGAAGTTTCCATAAAAAATATGTAGTCAGAATGAATTCCTACAGTTCATTTTCCCATATACTTAGGCATCTCTAAAAAAGGCAATGGATAAGGAAATTTTTCTTAATGAACTGGAATTTATGGGTACATTGTGGAGGTTATTTATTTGTTTGTTTGTTTGACTTGTCTCCGCCCATCTCCCCACAACTCTTCTTTTAGAAGAGAACTTGTGAGGTTGTCAGAGGGGAAAATCCATACAAGAAGACAAACTGTATGAAAAATTGTTCAAAGGGCCTAAAGTTGGTTAGATATTCTGGAAAGCTGAATGAAAAGTAATATTGTCACCTTTTAAAAACGTTTAAGACGCCCTGTACCTTTCAAGCAGTGCTTCTCTGCCAGTTTTACAGTCCAGGCAATGTCCCATTCAGAAGAGGAAAAGGATGATCCTCCTCCTCCTCCTCCATCATCAGGAGGAGCCCTTTGCTACCATACTCCAACCTGGTGGCTAAGCATATAGGACAAACCATTAGCTGAACTTGTCAGGGGTTGGAAGAAGATGGGTCTGCTTAATTCTTGGATGGGAGTCTCTCTGAAAATGCCAGTGCCGTGGGCTAATCTGGGAAGTTGAAAAACCATTTCCATCCTATTTCAAAGGAAACAATATGGATGGCTGGTGTGGGTCTTCTGGGCTGTGTGGCCGTGTTCTGGAAGGGTCACCTCATCCTGGGCACAGAGAGAACTGCTCCTGTCTGTGC